CCTAAAGCCTTCCGCGCTAGTGACCGAAGGCCCCGCAAAATCCCATGCCTGGCACCCTAAGCCCTAAACCCCAAAAAGTCCCTAAATCTTAAAAAGCCCTTAAAAGAAAGCCTGAGTCCTGAACCCTGAAACCCCTAAGTCCTAAACACCTGACTCCTAAACCTTAATCCGCAACACCCTCAACCGCCCCAGGCCGAGCCGAACAAGGGCTACTTTTCTGTGTCCACCCAACGAAGAGGCGTGCTCCAGCAGAGACTTTCTTGGTAAGAAGCGGGAAAGAGTTCAGCGAAACCCAAGCCGACGTGGGGTCTATTCCTAGAAGCTGAATGCATACACTTTGCACGTTTTGGGATAGCATTATCCCTAAGCCTTAAACCCTTATAGAACTAACTGAACGTGTCCATTTGTCGCGGCTTGTGGAGTCAGCAACTACGTATCCGAGTTTGAAGCAAAATCTTCGAACTGTGGATTCGGATCATGCAACAAACCAGCGTCATACAAGTAGGGGGTTTAGGGTTTAAGGGTTTATAGGGTTTGTTGAGGTTTTGGAGTTCAGGGTTCAGGGTTCAGCAGCTCCGGTCCGTGAAGTATTACAGTAAAGTTGTCTTTACGGCTTTGATGTAGCACCCACCTACCCACTGAATCCCATAACATTACGAAAACTAAGAAAATATCAAATTCTACAGGCCAGTTCCACAACAACTATTCATCAACCAGAGCAAGCCAGCCCAGAGCCCTAAACCCTCGACCCCAAAGGCCAGCCCAGAGCCCTACGTAAATCCTAAGCGCTGCGGGCCAGCCCAGAGCCTTGAATCCTAAACCCTGAAGGCCAGCCCAGAGCCATAAAGGCCAACCCAGAGCCCTACATCCCAAACTCTACAGGCTGTCAAGGGCAAGTTGCCTTATTCGGGACATGCCTTGGGGTTCCGATCCTGTCAGGGGAAACTTGCCTTCTTCAGGAAATGCCTTGGGGCTCCGATCCTGTCAGGGAAAACTTGCCTTATTCAGGAACTGTAACTAATACTTAAATTTAAGTATTCATAGGCCAAAGAGGTTCAGGGTTTAGAGTTTAGGGGGTTAGTTACTGTGTTCCCTGACTGCAAGTATTCCGTGCAACCCATCGCCCTTCTCTAAACGGACTATTGGGGCTTGAACAAACAGGGACGGTTTATGGTTTTAGGGTTTATCATTCAATGGTATCCCTTCAAAAACAGAATTGGTATTTATATGTGCTGTAAACTGATAGTGTCCAGTCCTCCGATACCCTTGCCGAAGGATTTACCGTAGGGGCCCATGTACCATTATGGTAGATAGTTTTGACTGTATGAGGCCAAGGCATCTGTGCATTATTCCCCTACGCCTGAAACCCGAGGCCTTATTCTAAATATATCAGCCCCATAAACTATCGACCGCAGGTTAAGGCCAAAGCAAACACAACATTAAGGCCAAAGCATATACAACAGTAGTTCATGGAGGTAGAGTGAGGCCTCCAGAGACCCGAGAGCGTGATACTTAAGGGTTCAGGGTTTAGGGGTCAGGCTTACTTTAGCTTAAGGTTTAGTGTTTAGGCTTTAGGCTTAGGGTTTAGTGTTTGGGCTTTTGGGTGTTGGGGCTGAGGGTTTCTGTGACAATACCATTCCAGGAGGGTCCCGTGCCGCTTCTGGTGGTGGCCTCCAATGGCAACCGTGTTCTTGCGAAGGCTAGTTGGCTGATAGGGTTAAGGGTTTAAGGATTATTCTGAGGTTTATAGGGCTGAAATAGCTCACAGGGCTCATAGGACTTAGAGGGTTTGTAGTGTTTACAGGGTTCACGGCATGTCTTCTTTGTTGGTTTTGAGGTGTAATGTTGAGGCTGACGGGTTTAGGGCGTGTGGTTTAGGGTTTTAGAGTTTACGGGTCCGCCCCTCAGGATCCCAACTAAGAAGCTGCTGAGGGCCAACATCCCTTCTACATTAGAAAGCCCAAAGGTTCTCCGAACCCAATAGCCTGAGTCCTTAATCCTTAGCATCAAAATAGCCCAAAAAAGCCTTATATAATAGGGTCGTTGGGCCCAAACGCCTTAAAATATGAGTCCTTGGAGGGTAAGGGTAAGGGTAATGCAGAAGGGGAATCCCAGCACTGATTGTCCGGTGTTGGAACTTTTTGGGGGTTTACTTCCTTGCTTTGGGTCCTGCTGTGCCCTCAGAAGAATTTTAGGGTTTAGGGGTTTAGGGTTTAGGGTTAAGGGTTTAGGGGGGGTACCTACTACAATTGAAGGACTACTAATCAAACGAGTATGCTTTCAGAGATTTTGGAGTCTTTGGGTCCAAAGCGCCCTTGTTGTGTTTTCGGTGTATAGGGTTCGACAAAATCACCAGTACCGTTTAAAATTCGATGTTATTGATGTTCCTATTTTTGTTGTAGTCTAATAAAGCCCTAAAACCCTAAACCCTACACCCTAAACCCTCAATCACAAAGGCCCCTTCATGCTATATTCCAATAAAACCCTAAACGCTAAAACCCAAAACCGTACTGTATCTCAATTCTCAATCATCAAGGCCCCTTAAGTAGGAGCCTGGGGAGACGGGCTCGATTTCCAGGAGGAGTCAACTCTAGGGCTTTACGGGCTTAGGGTTTAGGGTTTAAGGGTTTAGGGGTGTCGGGGCTTAGGGTTTGGGGGTTTAGGG